TTTCCTGGCTCTTTTTCTTTCGTCCTTTCTATTAGTGCAGACCACAGAGGTCTCTCTTTGATGTACTTTCTCCCCCTAGTTGCTACCTCTTTATTTGATATTATGTAAATTTCTGAAGGAATTCTACAAAATTCCTAGATGTTTCAAACATAGTTTCAGGAGATGTTTATGTATTTATTTATTTTTCTTCTCTTGAAGGAAGTAGTGTAATTTATTTTCAAAATCTCTAAAACCTGCATGTGATTACACAGTGGAAGGAAGCTGCCAAGTAACTGAATGACACTAGCTAGACCTACCACCCTCCTTATTCTGAAAATTGATGTTCATTAGCTGTCTCTGATACAAGATTCCCTTTCTTTTTAAGGATATAAAGCAGCATTTCTTAATTGTGGTTCACTGGTGTTCTATTATATGTATCTACATAATATATATATATATATGTATATATTCGTGTATATTGTGTGTCTATATATACATGTGTATATATATATATATATCCGTATATATTATACAATCATGCATAATGTGATGTAGGAGAGGTGAATAAACTAGAATTTGTTTATTATAATGTGATTTTAGTTATTTAAATTCTAATGGTATGAAATATAAATTTGAATAAAATATATAGATTTGAAAAAAAAAAAGTGGTATTATAATTCTAAGTTACTTTTTTTTTAATCATCGAATTTAAGTTAAAATTATTTGTAATTTATTTTTTGAAATATATGAGAATAAAAATTTATTGTTGTAAAATAATATAAAAAGAACTGATTTAATTGTACATTAAATATATAAATTATTAATTTTATAATCAAATAATTAATCTTTAAAAATAAAATAAAATCACACCAAACTAGGGGTATTGGGAAAAATCCTAACAGTAAAAGGAAGACAGCAGAGAAATAGGCTGAAAGTAACTTCGAATTTTTCTCACTTGATTTTTTATTTTAAATTATTTAGTATTCACAATTTAATTAAATTTATATATACAATTTAATTAAATTTATATTTATAATTTCACAATAATAAACATGTATTCACACTCAAAAACTAATTCCAAAAATAAAATTAGACTCTCGACATAAAATTAATTAAAATTTTAAATATTATTCTTATAAAAATGTTACATTTTTATTGTATTATAATTCTTAATCAACAAAATTAAAATTTGAATCAGATTAAACTTAATTGTTGGTTGAATTAATAGTTAATATATTTTTAATCATCATACCCCAGATTGTACAACACTGAAACTTTTTGGCACCAAGAGCAATGAGCAAAAGCCAAGTTCAGATAGAATTTAAGCCTAAAAACATGTTACTGATTGTACTTCCCTTGTTTTACAACCAACAACTCCTTCCCCACGGCTATTCAGTACTAGATATCATAATCAACTATTCTATACTTACACCAAAGGAAGCAAAAATGATCTCCAAATATTGAAGCTACCAGAACCAACAAGAAGAAACACCGTGGCCTATCTCCTCGACTTCCAGCTCCACTTCATGTGCTCCCTGGAACATCATTTCCGGGTGCTGGCTTTCGATTCAAGTATCGGATAACAGCATCTTCAACCCTGTTAGAATAACCCAAAAAGAGAAGAAAATTTAGTCAATCTGGTTTTTCAAATTTATCTAAGATATTCATAGAATACATTCAATTATCTGGGTTGAATACTTAATAGGAGATACTGATAAGAAATGATCTAAAATCTATTATTCAATGTAAAAACACCCTCATCGTGAACAAGATTGCTAGACTGAAAGCGTTGGTCAAGCTAAAACCACCTTATACGGAAATAATTAAGAAAAATGTGTGCTGGCAAGGATTAGAATGTTAAATTAGTCTTCTAAATTCTAATATAATGTTAAATGATTGATTGTAATTAATTATCTCAAATACTGATAGGAAATGGTCAAATATTATACTACCTTATAAAAAATATATTAAGACCAAACTTGAAGTACAGCTGACTAATCTTGAAAAACAGCAGGATGTATTTGAGATATCAAATCCACTCCAAGTTACGAGTTATATGAAACAATCATTCATGTTAAAAACTGGCTATCAATTATCTCAAGTAATATCATAGGGGTTAGTCGGGAGACTTGAAGTCCACGATTTGAGTCTTGGGAGAAGGTCAATACAAGTGAATCATGATTTGTGGTGGCTCTTTGACTTATACGAGTCTGCCTCAAATGGCAGAGCATAATAATAATAATAAAAAATGAAGAACACGGGACAATAATGACCAAAGAAAGAAAAGAAGTTGATGAACTTACCATGGTTGATTGAAGAAATCTGACCGACGTTCTTTCTCAGCATTTCGACTACCTTCTCCAGCTACAAGCTTCAAATCCCTGCTTTGAGATTCCATCAAGGCATTAATAAATTCCACAGGTGATTGACTGAATCCTAGAAAAAATGCTCGTCTCCTCCTATGTTCGTGTATTTTTCTTATGGTTGCACATATTGCTTCCTCACAGGCCTCAATCTCTTTGTTCTTCTCAGCATTGGCTAATAGAATAGACAGTTCTCTCTGTATTGGGAAGGGCACATCAACCAACACATCGTAGCATGCAGTTCCAGCTGGACTACTCCCCGATAGCTTGATTTTATGCTCCAAATGTATAGGTGGTGGAGGAGTCAAATGCTGAGATATTTTCTGTGAGACCATTGTAAATTTCATCTTTTCTTCCCCAAACACTTTTTGGAGAGCTACATCGCAGCTAAAGAAAGAAGGGTCATTTGGGTTCTGCAATTTTCTTGCCTTCACGTAATGCCAGATTGCAGCAATAATTCTTGGGCGGGTATCAACCTCAATACCAAGCACTTCCATCAATGCAGGGGAAAGCTTAAATTTCTCAGGAACGTAATTCATTTCCAACCGTATATTTACTGTAAATTCTTGATCCCCTTTTCTCTTCACTTCGAAACCCTCGTGTGGTGCAGGTGATCGAGCTTGCTCCCACATAATAATATGGTTATCTGGATATAATCTCTGATCCAATGAAATGCTTACTCTTTTGAAAAAAGATGAGAACTTTGGATATATCGGGTTTGATTTCTGAACAAATCCAGGCTGATCAGGGTCTACTCCATTTTCCAAAATCCTCCCTATTATCTTAAGTGTCCAT